GTACAGAGATAAAACAAAACAATAAAGTTTGTAATGATTATTTTTGTCTAAAAGTTGTTCTGATACAATCTTAAAACATCAAAGTAATTTATGAACTTAAAGTCCTTTGAACAGAAAAAGTCAAAGCTGAACAAATTTTACTTTATGTGCAAACGGCTGAATTTACTGTATATTGTGAAATTTTTAGATTTTTATTTTACATCCATTTCCCAATTTTTGAAATCATAAAATCAGTTTTGCAGGCTTAAAAATAATTAATGTTAATGTATTTTGTCGTAGATGATATGTTTTAGGTAAATCATTTTGATCGTTATTTGTTGTTCCAGCCCTAAATGTTAAAAAGCTGTTTTATGCTGCTATTTAATCATTAATTGAACATTTCCTTTCCACGTTTTTATTTTCAGATCCCCTCCACCTTCAATGCCAGCCAGGCGATGGCCTTTGACGGCTGTTTCCATGATGACGACATTGAGCTGACCCCATTCCCTCGGATGGCGCCCACGCTGACCACTGACCCCCTGACCACGCCGAGCCAAAACTCGGACATGCGTCCCACAGAGGGCACCCGGCTGCGGCGGCAGCGGTCGGTGCGTGAGAACGTGGCCCTGCTGGTCAGCAACAGTTACATGATTGACTCGTACTCGCGCCTGGCCTTCCCTCTGTCCTACCTGCTGTTCAACACAATCTACTGGAGCCTGTACTCCTGATCCCACCCGTCCGGGAGACGCCCAACCGAGTTCCGAGGCCGGACGAAATGCCAGGGCGCGCACTTTCAGGAGAGACTGAGGGAAATCTCCTGAGACCCTCGGTCTGTGTTAGACTGTTGAACACAGACTNTCTTGTTAAACCGAACAGCAACACAATCTCCCTTCACAGCTGGAACTCTCTGTGTTTCTCTAACAATCAGAAAAGTAGCAGCAGTAAATAAATATAAGTGGCTGATGAGCGAGATTTGTTTCTGTCTCCTCCTGCAGGTATGACCACTGTGCTCACCATGTCCACCATCATCACCGGAGTGTCCTCCTCCATGCCTCAGGTAAAACTGGATTTGTCTGGATCGAACTTTGTTGACGCTCTCTGCCTATGTGGGCTCTCAGGGTGGGTTTTAGGATTTTACTGATTATCTTTAAGGTTCTTCATGACTGAAGTCAGAGCTTTCTATTTTACAACAAATACATAAATTAAAATGTTTAAAG